ATCGCAAAGGAGTAAGTTCGGAAAGGGCCATATTTTGCCCCGATTATTAAGTTCAATGTTTCAAGATAAAAAATGTTTTTAGTTGATGAAAAGACATGTGAGAAGGTTTAATAGAACTACTCTAGTGTCACATCTTAGTGTGTGGAAAACAACTGCCACTGATGCTACTGGTTTTAATTCAACTGTGTTCAGTGATTTATTTTCATGGTGCAAATTCATTTCAATTTTTTCAGTTGAACAATATGGACTCGTAGGAATCTCTTCCTATATTTCTAATAACAACCATGCATTTTTTTTTAAATTTCAGGCAAATCAAACATATGGATTGGATTAAAGGCAGAACAATGGGTAAATGGGGAACCATTCATAAATGTTTTTGGTTTACAAACTCAGTTTAACTATTATGACAGCCTGTACACTAGTGACAATGAACAAGATTGTACAGTGGTGTATTTGCAAAGTGCTTATGTTTTTCAAGATGAAAGTTGCAACATTCGAGTTAGGAGTAATTACCTGTGTGAAATAACGATGTCATAAGTATGTTATGCATACCACATCGCCGTATTATATATTCTATCGTATATTTTCAGATTTTAGTTTTTGAATTTAAAGAAATAGTGAATGAATGAACTATTTACCACATATCGAACATGTCACCGATTGAAGTTTTCATGATTGAGCTGTTAATTGGTGGATTAGTTATGTTAAGCAGTAGGATAATACCGTGTTGATGTGATATGAAAAAAGCCATGCCTTGTACTAGTCGACATACTAAATCTGATTTAAATGTGAACTTGATAGATCCAAAAGTTATCAATCCGCAGGAACCTTTTACTTTATTCTACCATTTAGTCCAATAGTCTTTGCTCTTATTCCTTACTGTCGTAATGCCTATAGAAATATAGTATGTTTAATAATGTGGTAGCAGACGGGGGTATTCGTGTCATCCAGAGATATTTACATGGTTTTACTTATTTTTATGAGTACAGTTTGTAACAGTTTGGAATACAATGCTATCGACACTTAAAATATAGGAATGAAAAAACCCATTACAATCAATAGAAAATAATGGTCTATGTATATGTTTTCAATTAAAAGTATGGAAACATCATTTTATTTTAATCAAACATTTTAATAAAATAGTATTATTTACAGATGTACGCATTGTTTTTTAATACCTTGTTACACATTTGTAATTTTAAAAAACCTCATCAATCAAACAAGGATTATGATTTTGTGTGCCAGACTCGGGTTTCGTCAACACAAGAATCCTCAGTGACGCTCGAATCAAAAGAGTTCAAAGGCCAAATAAAGTACGAAGTTGAAGAGCATTGAGGACCTGAAATTGCGAAAAAAATTGACAAAATACAGCTAAGGTAGTCTATTCCTTCGGTAGAAAATAATTGTAGTCTACATTGTGCTCCGCTTTAACAAAGTTTAACGAAATAAATTAGACGGAAGAATGCTAAATATTATAATGTATGAATAAAGTACCATATAGCTAAAGATGATACTTTTTCTGAAAATTTAAATGCTAAAAATTTAGAAATTTTGAAATTCGTTAATTCATATTTTTTCTTTCACTGAATTTTTTTATGGGCTTTAAAAGTTTAATATATTCGCATAATTTAGTATTGTTTGCATCTTGTATACGTATTTATACTTAATTTATTGTATAGAGCTTCGATATATTAGTTAATTTTATATTAGAGACAAATTTTCACCAGAGAGGCGAAAGATACCAGAGGGACATTCAAACTCATAAGTCGAAAATAAACTGACAACGCCATGACTAAAAAAGAAAAAGACCAACAGACAAACTATAGTACACAAAACACAACATAGAAAATTAAAGACTGAGCAACACGAACCCCGGCAAAAACTAGGGGTGATCTCAGGTGCTCATGAAGGGTAAGCAGATCCTGCTCCACATGTGGCACCCGTCGTGTTGTTCATGTTAGTACAAACCCGGTAATAAGTCTAATTCGGTAGGTCACATTCGTGAAAAGGGGACGGGATTGTAGTTACGACAAAACACTCAATTATAGTAGGTGCAAATACATGTTGATCTTTGTTTGCATAAGCATAAATTCCGACGTAAAAATCCACAGAAAGATAAAAGATTGGTCTTTTTTAAAGCCTGTATTTGCATCTCTAACCCCGGCAACAGTTTTTTGGAAAAAATATTAAAAATGGGCAATAATCGCATCAAAAAGAGAAAATCGGGTACACCCTTTTATGTTCAGGCGTGTTTCAGTTCACTGTTTTGTCTAGAAAACGTATAAAAAAAAATATTTGATCCATCATCTCGCTTCAGATTCCATTATTAATATTTGTTAAGGCTGCATTTTGATATATTAACATTTAAAAATTCAAAATACCAAGTCAAGTGAAATGCCTTTCTAACGATTCATAACAACAGAAAAGTTTGTTTGAATCATACATTTTTACTATAAATACTTGACGACAAACTTTACCTGTGGATCTTTTGTAAACATAACTTCGAAAAAACAAAATTTCTTATATGTGGTTTCTATGGTAATTTGTCTGCAACCTCTGAAAAGTTTTTGCCTGCCCTTCCATGAAATATTTAGTTAGAATGTTTTTAGTATTTTTTTTAACTTTCGAAAATTCCCCCTGACAACCGATAAGACAAAAGTTTTAAGTTTACAAAATGCATTCAAGTACATTAAAAGATACTTGTCTTATAAAGTACAAATGTCATGTAAGGATCATAAATATATCTGTTTTCAAGAGCTTAATTGACAGCGCGTTATCCCTACAATGGCTGCCTTTTTCACCATTTAAATGAATTGGTTGCGTAATATGGAGATAGTTTTGACGAAGTAGAACCCTGACTGTGACATAATATACTAGTGGACAATTCCTTTATTTTCACATACTCCTTTATGCAGTTTAATTGTTCATATTCAATTATTTCATACTATTGATTTTGTTTGCTTTTACATTTTAAATATATCTTTATATATTTATTTCTGATCCATGTGTATTTTATGTTTGTTCATTAAACGAATATGACCTTTCTAAGTCGGAACAAACTGTGTCCATTTCTTGTGTGTATTTCGCAATGAATTATCTTTAAACTAACAATAAATGACTCAATACCGGCGAAACTATATATACCTGGTGAAGAAAGGAGGAAAACTTTTAAAATATGCATCCTGCAAACAAAAATGTCTACAGGCTTTTTAAAAATCTGTATATAAAAGGACGCACAACGTCAGAATATGCTACGTCAGTAATTTTCATTTACGAGGTTTAGCTAAGACAAATAACACGCTAAACTGAACTACGTCCCCTGTGATAACTTAATTTAATTAAAGTAACTAAATTTCTATTTGGCCGAAAAATAATTACGAAGAGGCAAACATGAATTCAACTACTTTGGATTGTTTGTGATCAATTTCTTTTTTAAAATTTTGTATCGATCTTTTAGGTGTTTATAGTACTGCAACCAGAGTACATTTTTAAAAAACTTTAATGTACCGGAAGAACACACACCTATATTGCATATCAATGGAAAGAAAAGAATGTGTACGATAAGAAATTTTTTTTATGAAATTGAGGTCAAAGATCAAACCTAAAATATTTCATGAACTCAACCATGAGGAAAAAAGAAGAATTTTTCTGAGATATATTCAGCAGAATGCTACAAAAATGATTTAATCACAAGCATTTACTGGAAAGGATGTCTAAACGACAAGTTCTACTATTTGTAAAAACAGCTTCCATTACAAAATTTTGTTAATGATGAATCTTCTGAATTTTTCCCATTTATGACAAAGAAAATGAGTTGTAGCTTTGACCTTTTCACGTACATTAACTTTAGCATTGCTTATTAACTCATAAGTCGAAAATAAGCTGATAATGCAATGGCAAAAAACGCAAAACCACGAAAAGACAAACAGAGCATAAAACAGAACATTAAAAAACTAACGACATAAACCCGGGGATGATCACTGATGATCCGGTTCTACCCGTCGTGTTACTCCTATAAAATACACTTATAGGCTATATCAAGTGAAAAGGCATCAAACAATAGCGGATTGGTAACCGACTCTTATTAAGCCCTAATACATCAGCAATTTTGTAAACCATCGGTCATGTAAATTTTCTCATTTAAAAAAAAATTAATCCTTGAACCTATGAGGAGTTAATTAACCTACAATGAAATTTTGAAATTGAAACGTTTTTCATGACAAAGTATATATAGACAAGACTGTTACTAGTATATACATCATAAACATTGAATAATAAAAAGGAACAAAGAACAACACTTAAAACTAAAGCAAGAGCAACACAAACCCCTTTAAACATAACTAGGGGTGATCTTTGGTGCTTTGGAAGTAGACTAGAGTCATTTAGAATCTACATAGTTTAGAAATATTCAAGCTAGTTTACTCAATACGTAACTTTATGTCATGTAGGGCCTTTTATAGCTGACTATACGAAAAGAATATTGGTCATAGTTGAGGTCCGTACGCTGACATACAATTGCTTTAAACCGCTTCAGTTAAGTAATTGTTTCCATGGTAATCATATCATAACACTTTGGATTTCAATATCTGATTCTTTTTTTATGTCCTCTTTTTCCTCGAATGTGACCGAATTAGATTTATCACCGGGTTTGTACTTGAATGAGCAACACGACGGGTCCCACATGTGGAGCAGGATCTGCTTACCCGTCCGGTTGTACCTGAGATCAAAGCTAGTTTTTGGTGGGGTAAGCGATTCTTATATATATATAGATCAGTCTTTAGTGTTCTATGTTGTGTTTTGTAGACAGGACGGTTGTTTGTGTCTGGTGTTTTTTCGTTTTCGACCCCTTGGTATGTTGCACCTCTCTTTAAGACATTCTCTGTGAATTTCGTACAGGTGCCATTTGCCCCAATTTCTGAAGACATAACCCGCCAGATAAGCTTAACAAATGTTCGTGTTAACCTTTTAGATAAAGGATATTTCTTGTATAAAGGTCTTGCTCCGTATAAACCTATTCGTAAGTCTAAAAATGAAAGGCTTGTTTGCATTATTTTGTATATCCTTGTTTGTATACGGTAAGTCTCTTTAACTCTGTTTTTTTGGTATTGCCATTTACATGTATGACACGTATGTTGATAGTCACCATTAAATTTGAATGTCAAATGGTACTTTATAATGGGAATATAATGTTAGGTTAGCGTTCCCGTTCCCGTTTGAAAATTATCATAATCATTAAGTGTAAATTTGAACTGAATGGATTTTGGTAACTTATATTTCATGTGTTAACATTACGGCTTTATCAAACGCGAATTAAATGTGGTATCGATGTTTTGGTTGTTTGACTCCAGTTAAAAAATACATATTTCCAAGATATCAAGATTTGTATTATACCTTACACAACGAAGAAAAGGGTAAATTGTTTGTTTGAACATGAATTTGCTTAACTACTGTTTTAAGATGATGTCTTTTAATCCATATCAACAGATAGATAATTTCTTTTAAAAGTCGAACAATAATATATGTCAAAAGATTACCAATAGCTAGGTTTCCACTCTAAATACGAACAGTATACAATAAATATTTAAGGATTTGCATGGAAGCTTTTATGTTTTAGTACTTTGATAGTCATACGGCTAGTATACGAATATGTGTATGTATAAATGTATCTGCATTTTACATTCAAATATCAAAGGTTTTAGTTGTTGTCAAAGTGGATGGCATTATTACTCTGGCTCATGTTTTAAAGTCTTTGGAGAACGAACAAAATGGACCACTGCTAGGGTAAGCATAGTAAACAATTATATGTTTTTTTTTCTCGACTGGAAAAATTGATAAAAAGTAGAATCGAAATTTGCTTATTATTGGTATATTTTCTTAGAATTGATTTATTGACTGTACCAAGTCAGGAATATGAGTATGACAGTTGTTTCCATTCGGTTCATTTGTTGATATAGATAGTGTTTGATTTTGGTTTTTATGGATTTCTTCTTTTGTAATTTACCTTGGAGTTTGGTATTTTTTGTTTATCCTTCACACAATCTCTGTGTGATTAGTTTATTTGTGTGTCATTAGAAACTCCTTTTAATTAAACAAATATTTGTGATTGTTTGAATAACATTATTCGTGATAATACAATACCAAACCTAGAAACTCTGAAATTTTTTTTGTCTTTTAAATGAATAATTAAAAGATGAATATTTCACTGCATCTATCCAAATGAACTTGAAATACATGATACCAAAGCTATAGTTTATTATGCTTCATATCTTGATTTGCATCTAGAAATATAATTCAATTTGGATCATTTGAGAACAAAAATTTGTGGCAAAAGAGATTTTCACATTGTGAAATTTCCGTTGCTGTATCGCAACATTCCAGCAACAACTGTATATTGTGTATACTTGTATATCTCCCAGATGATACGATATGCCAGGTCTTGCGTTTTCTATCTTTATTCCCTTGATAGAGCGTGACTGCTTAGACTGCTTAGAATAAAGTTTTTGCATCAAGGATTTCAGATTGTAAAGTTGAAGTCATTTCTTTGAAAATTTTACCGACTGTACGGTATGGGTTTTTCTCATTGTTGAAGGCCGTATGGTTTCCTATAATGGCTTACATCCACTTCATTTGAACTTTAAGGATATTTGTCTCATTGGTATTAAAGATAACAAAAAACACAGGTTCAAACAAAACTAGATACACAATATCATACTGTACCAAATGAAATTGAGAATGGAAATGGGGAATGTGTCTAAGAGACAACAACCCGACCAAAGAGCAGAAAACAGTCCAAGGCCACCAATGGGTCTTCAACACAGCGAGAAAATCCCGCACCCGGAGGCGCGCTTTAGCTGGCCCCTAAACAAAAATGTGTACTAGTTCAGTGAAAATGGACGTCACACTAAACTCCGAAACATATAAGGGTCATTATCAAAAAACATGCAAATTTCGATGAAGTAATATTTGGAAAAACGATGTCATTGTTTAAAACATTTAAATGTGTCCCTCTATTCTATAGTATGGTAGCAACTATTTTCAGAAATATGCAATGGGAAAAATGAAGGGTTCCTTCAATTTTAACAATTTTAGGTCATCCTTTGATAGAATCGTGTCAATGGTGTTACCAATATAAAACATGCATTTAGGTACTAACTATTATTGTTAAACATCAAACAACTGTTCCAATTTGTTGTTAAGGTTTAAATTACTACTTATTGACATTATTCCTCTAGCTATACATTCTTTTTAAACATAAATTTCAGAATACATTGTCGTAAAAAAGTTGGCTGTCCTAATTATGGCTGTTGTAAATACTAAAAAATACACTTAAATTGAATATATGTATAATGTATAAGATGAAATGATAAGAATATGCTTAATCTTTCGTATACAACCTAAAAACGATTTCATTTATGAATAAAAATTAAAAAGTATCGCATTTTTATAGTAGTAACACCACTGACTCTTCAGTAACTCCAATGACACAAAAGTATCACCATTGACAACACATTTCAAATTTTACTTTTATTAAGTACTGAACACAAAACAGAGAACACTGAGCAAAAGAAAAAGAAGAAAAAATAATTCTTAGGCTTAAAAATCTCAAATTATATAACATAATATCAATAACTAAAAATGTCAGTAGTGTTACTAAATAGTGTCATTGGTGTTACCAGCATACACCAGTTTTTGAAAACTTTGTATATGTAATACATGATATTGTTAAAACATTGTTAAATAAGTATTGTTTGTTATAAATAATATGATGTTTCGCTTGTTAAACATGAAAGAAACACCTAAAAATGCTGATTGTCATAATATATTCAGTGGTGTTACTAAGCTGGTCAATGGGGTTATTTTATTAAAATGGTCTCACCATTGACAGTAAAACCATTGATTTTCACGTGTTTTTTAAGGTTTAGTTACAAAATAAGGGCTCCATTCCCCTATTTTATATGGTGTTCCTGGTGCATGTTTCTACAATCAATATATTTCATAATTCAAAGTTCAGGAATTTAAAAAAAAAAGATTTTTATAAGGGTACACCATGGACACTATTTTCAATTACGATATAGCTTGTACTTACTTTTAATATTTTTTTACTAAATTTTCAACATAAATGTTTGTTTTCTTTTGCATAACATGCTTACAGGTAACATTGCTAAGGGAGAAACTATTGTAAATGCTGAAATATTGAGAAAGATAACTCTTACCCTACCAATTTGTCTTTTGGTTACACCATTGACTTAAAAAATGAGACTTTTGCTTTTGGTTAAATTTGTTATTATAAAACCAACATACACCTTCCAAATCATTAAAAAAATGCTTGTATGTATCAAATGCAATAAAAAGTGATAATTTCTAATAACAAATGATATGAATAATAGCCCTATTTCAGGTCTGAAGGGATTAATAGTAAAAAATAACAGTTGATTCTGGCTATATCCAAGGGTTTGAGAAAAAATTAAGAATGTTTTTATAACATTTCATACTGTAAACTGTGTATAGTGTATCACAAAACATTCATATCTTTCATATGCAATAGTTATTTTGATACATTTTGATATAGTTTCATGTCTTTTGACTTGAAAAGACCAAATAACATAGTTTTGCATGTTTTTTTGATAATGACCCATAAATGAACTAAAATTTAAAAAAACATACAAGACAAAGAATGTTCGAACTGTCGATGAAAGCAAGCTAAAAGTACTTGGTATGAAATCATCCTATCCGACATTCTGATATCAGTGGTTGTTATTCATAAAACATTTCATACATTAACGTCATAAATAGAATAGGAAGATGCGCTACTCAACAATGCCATTTACAAAAGTAACAGAAAATATCAACCCAACAAGCATCGTAAACTCGTGTTTAATTTATGATGATGTAGTTCACAGCATTTTTTACGATAATTTTTGTTTGACCTTCCAGTCCCGTTGTCACCATCTTGGTGCCCAATTAGCAGAGGACCACAGTCATGGCACTCACAGGTTTTTAGTTAGTCTCATTAAAAGAGATCACAGTAAGATCCTTATTAAAAAGAGAGGCGAAATATACCAAAGGGATATTCAAACTCCTAAGTCGAAAATAAACTGACAACGCCATGGTAAACAAAAAGAAAAAGACCAACTGACAAACAACAGTATACAATAAACAACATAGAAAACTAAAGACTTAGCACCAAGAACCCCACCACCAAATACCGGGGGTGATCTCAGGTGCTCTTGAAGGGTAAGCAGATACTGTTCCACTTGTGGCAGCCGTCGTGTTGATCATATTAAATCTAGTTAGATGTGTTCAAGTCAGCTTTCATACATATCTAATATAACATGAATCAAGTAAATGCAAGTCGTCACATACCATCATTTATCTTACCTCGAGTGTGTATTTACATGAGCAACACGAAGGGTGTCACATGTAGAACAGGAGCTCCTTACTCTTCCAGAGTACATGAGATCCTTCCGGTTTTTATGTTGGATCCATGTTACTCAGACATCAGTTTTTATACTTTTGTTTGTCTTTTAGTAGGCTTTTTTATACAATGGAGTTGTCAGTTTGTCATCAACTAGTGACTTTAAATATTCCTTTGGTATCTTTTGGAGTTTTTGTTGTTGGCACATATATCTATGATAAGTATGAACTAGACACCAAAAGACGATGATGTTAACTACTATAGGTCACCATACGTGTTTCTACCCTTTCATCACTTGAGAAAAATTAGAAACTAGTGTTCAGGGTGTATATATTGTACAAGAAAAGATGCACTATAATAAAAACAAAGTAATTCAACAGTTTAAATTTTTATATTTTATTTTTTGAACCTGACTATAAATATGGATAATTATTGTAAATGGTTAAACTGATAAGTACAGCATGATCATTTTATGTTAGAACATTGTCAAAAATTTAAATAGACAATAATTCATTTGTGAATAGAATAATATTCTTTTATTTTGTAAAGATTCCGTTTGTGAATGATTTATCTAGTATGGTTATACTTGATGTTTTTAATTTTAGAATGACTTTTTAATCTAAAAACCAAATAAAAGGAGTTGTTGGGTAATCATGAATGAGACCATAATAGTTATTCAACTTCACATTAAAACAGAAACAAAAAAATACATCAAGATATCTGCAAATAAAGGTCTTAAAAAGTATGTCATATATAAAAGCTCTAAATTGCTCCGAGTCTAAACAGGTGGTGAATATATTGAACAGAGACTTCCAAATATCTCGCAACAACACCACATTAATTCTACAAAGCATATCAAACCACAAAGATTTTTTGGGAAAGTTCCTTCCTGGACAAACATATTAACATGATGGAGGATTTTGGTATATTTTAAAACCCCACCTTTTTTTATATTAAGTTAAGTCTGTATAAAACACCTGTGAAGAAATGAATGTAATGAAAATACATAAAAGAATGTTTTTACACTTTCCGTAACCTGTAAATTACAGGTTACGCAAGTTCATCTCCAATTGGGGATCATAAGCCAATTTACTATATTGGAGCAACTGACCACAATCTTGATTACGACTGGGAGTGGGAGAGTACGGGTAAAGTTGTTTACCCAGAGATGTTCGGCAAACATCAACCTGATCGATATGATGGTCACGCCCAGGAGTGTCTAGCAATCAATGTGAGAGACGACTGGAGTAAGTACAAATAAATAATTAGTAATCAACAGATTAGGATCTTTCAACAATCGGTCCACACTAAGCATTCCTAATGCACACCACTTTCCCAAATATTTTTAAAATTCTAATAAACACACGCCATTGCTTGTAGATGGCATCTTAAAAATAACGTATGAACCATGTTGGCGTGAGGACAATGCCACATATATTTAAAAAAAAAAATAATTCAAAAATGATAGACATCTTAAGGGTAATGTACTTTCAACGCTAGACAGATTCTATAATTATAAACCAATCTGGAATGCTTTGATTCTAGACAAATGGTGAATACATATAAGCCTCTAACGAGGTTCCTGACTAGAAACAGACAAATTCACATATGTATGTTTTATGACTTCAATCCTAATGTGACGATGAAATTTTAGGAGAGGAAAATCTAAAAAAAAACTTAATCCGCCCGATATTTTCCTTCTTTACACTAAAGTTTACTTTATAAACTGCATCAATGATCCAAGATATAATCAAAGTTTAAGTAGTAAAGTGATATCTTTATCAAAAGAAACAAAAGAAATGAAACACAACAAATGAAAGTGTAAATCGCCAGTATATAAAATTGAGAATGGAAAAGTCAACGAAAAAAAATCTCCTCATTTAAAAAGAATAGAATAAAATCCGTTACAGGTAGGATGATAGTAATATGGATGTTGTTAAATTATAGCGAATCAGCTTCCTTAAACTTGCTTTGTCAACGGCTATTGATAACAATGATTTTCCGCATACACAGTCTGTCAGAGGCCTTCCAATAATCACATTATTCGATACATAAAATTAAACATTATTTCAACAAAATTGAAAAGGAATTTGTTTTAAATATTCGTTTTATCATCATAACCATTTTTAAGAAAAAAATACTCCCACGTTGGGAACTTTTAAGAGTAACCTAGCATTTATCTAATAGATAAGATTTGTCTGTGTAAAGAGCTCATGATAATGAAGAAAAAAAATTTTTTTTCCAATTAACATATTTTTTAAATAGCACGTCATTTGAATCGTGCAGTCATTTTGACGACTCGCGCGGTCAGTTTGCTTTGTATATTTCAGTATATAAGACTACTCAATTGCATCTATTTATGGATATTTCTACAGGTATATTTAAATAACTAAACTTCTTTTCTATTTGTATAATGATTAATGTGAAGGGGAAACCGGTACAGTTTATAAATCAAAATAAGTAATAAAATTAACAAGGTCATATTCTTTTTCTTTCAACTAATTGACATTCATAATAACACATCACACCATCCATAGATATTGTTTTTAAAAAGTCAGTTTAAAGTCCATTTTACCGAAATTTGATAATCAGGTACCCAATTTTACTAGATAATTGAAAAAAAAAATCATGGGACTCGCGTTTTCGGAACCCAGAGGCATTACTTATATGTCTTTTGGTGTTTTTTTTTGTCCTTCGTCACTTGGCTGCTAATTCGTGAACGAATACATTTAGTCTGTGTATTCATCCTTGTGGTTGTAGTTCGGGTGTTTCGCATTTTTTCGTGAATGAATATCTGAATTTTCTTTTGTTATATTCATTATAATAGTGGCTATGGTTCGAGTATTTAAAACACTCTTTTCATATATATAGCAACGAAGAATTGTGAATTTGAGCAAAGAACTAAATATTTTTTATCGTAAATGCATACACAAATGTAGAAAAGGTATAAAGATTAATTCTTTTCCTTCAATGTGTAAACAATTGTGTTGTATGTCATGAAGTCATAGGCAGTTGTGAACCCATATAGTAGTCCATAATGCATTGCAACTCATTCAGTGGATTGGCCGGTCAATCGCCCAGAAAAAAAAAAAATTCGTGTTTGTAAACAGACACTTATACATGTATTGGCGGGAGCATTAGTATGCTACATATTGAATATCCGGTTAAGGAAATCGGATGCGGATCAAGGATTTTGAAAAAAAGGGCTCATCTAGCGTAATTCATTTCTAGTAAAACGATTGCCTGTTTTACGTTTTGACAATTTCATAAATATAATTTCATATTTGTCTTTTTTAATTCTATAGTAGTTGGAAATGATTATATCCATACGGTTCACATCTATATTTAGACATTATATAACTGTAATGGTGTGTTAACTCCCCTTTTCTACTCAAAATTTCATATTGGTTAATAACATTTTCATTCAATGTTTTATCATTACAAATTATTAAAATTGAATAGATTTTGGTATTTATAATTTATTTAAGAAGACATATATTAAAATACAGAATTTATTTATCTTGTTTTGAAAAGTTTAAAAAATTTAATTACCAAAATTTAGAACCTTTGAAATTTATATATATAGTATTTAATAAATTTTGATAAATTGTCCGAGGGCTGGCTAATCTTAATCTAAAAGGATAGCGCAACTGCAACTAACCCACTATTTGATTTTGCTCCATTTCATGTTGCTTTCTAAAATAAATGAAAATTATGGGCTAAAGGTTTTACTTGAACAATTAAATATACATTTTGTGTAAACTGTTTCCGTTTCATTAAGTTTAGACTATTTTAGCGTTTTACATTTGGCATCCATTGTCAATCAGTCAATAAGCTAGTATTATCTGTGGTACGCATTCCCGAATCCACAGCAACATTGCTCCTTCTACAGATGTAAAATTATGTTGATTTCATAAGATTCCAATCAAGCTGTTCATAGCCGAGATCGTTTAGTCGGTGGAAACAAAAGTCATAAGGATGATATTAACAGTTCGAGTTCAAACCTTGTACCCGGAATGAAATTTTTTCATCGTAAATGTTTTCTGGACCAAAATATTGTTTTTATCTTAGAGGTATAATATATTTCATTTTCATATAATGACGATGATTTTGTTTGTGTTTTTTTATTGTCAAAGAAGTAGTTTTACATCCGTGACTTTTATATCACACTTTATTCAAATTGGAGTACGTTCAATGTTTTTTATGGTTTTAAAGGAAATGTCCAATTTATTTTTTCTGTTGTATCGGTGTCTTTCTATATATTGATATTGCTATATGGTTATACTCAGGAACGTTCAAATGTCGAACATAATCTTCGTTAAAAAAATAACACCCAACATGAAACAAATTAAATTTTTTTGAAAAGAACATGAACAAACCAAGACAAGATTTCATAGATTGCCGAAGCTAATTATCAATGGGACAGAAATCCAGTTTATTGACATGTATTGACAATCAAGAGCTTTAAGAGTATAATTCAAATATTGATTTATGTACTCGTGGTATAGTGGTATCATGCATAGACTGAAGACTGTAATGATTAACGATGAAAATACGCGCGTGTTAGAACCCGTCATATGAAACTCGTTTTTGAGAGGATAAAAGATCGTAAGATCTTTTTCTTTTTTAGTCATGGCGTTGTCTTTTTATTTTCGACATATGAGTTTGAATGTCCCTATGGTATCTTTCGCCCCTCTTTTAAAAGTAAAAAAAGTTATAATATAAGTTAACTTAACACAGTGATCAGTGGAAAAATAATCTAAGGTTGGAACAATAGACTGACGTCAGAGAAATTGGTTAATTAACAGTACTGAATTGACTGTAAGAGAATTGACTGAACAGACAGAATTTACAGCAGGCAATTAATCTGAATATTGATTTAAAGGTTTAAATTACGGCTGTTACTACAATTTTTAAGGCGGGTAGATAAACATGATAACAATTCTTTCGGTAACTGGTACTTTGCCAATAAGAAACATGTTCACATTGGAATTATGTATCGTTTACCAGGAAACTTTATATAAAATAACTTAGATATTATCAAACACTGTGTGCATTTGAGTTCTGTAAATTTCAGATATAGATTTCAATAAAGTTTTGAATTACTGTGTATATATATTTATTTCTGTAATTCTTAGCCGATTTATCCTGTTCCTGACCTGTTGATTATTTTTGTTTAATCAACGTGTGGTTTCTTTGATCTCAGTTCTCCATTGTTGTCAAAATCTAATATGACGTCAAATAATCTATTTGTTTTCTGAATTTCCTATTGTGATGTCACGAAAAAAGGAAACCATGTCTGACGACGTCACATAGAGAGAACACATCTGTTTGCAGATCATTTGGAAAGAAGGCTTGCGTTTGTCTGCCTATCGTCTAAAAATCATTATAGAAACAGATTCCACAATTAAATTTCGTGCAATACGATATTTCTCAATTATTGACAGTTTAATTTTAAACATTTAAAACGCTCGGCAAGCCTCGCATTTTCATTTGAAATTTAACTATCCCGAGTAGATAAATATCGTATCACACTCGATGCAGTGGTAAAATCTATATATATATATATATATATATATATATATATATATATATATATATATATATATATTTATATTGATAAATGTAGTATTTTTTTCAAACATGAACACATCCAAAATAATTAGATTGCTTCTTGCATTTCATCATCTAAATTTGAAGTTAAGTTGTTATAAAAACAACATTTTTGTATACTTTACTTCTGGCTGAAAACTTGTAGGAAGGTTGCGTATGAGGTATCTATCTTTTATGATAAGTCAGACAGTATGGCCGACGCGAGAAACCTAGTTTTACACCAATTTGATTCACATTAAGATTGCACAAATATACAAGAACACAAAATTGTAATCACAATTGGAAACCTTAAAACCTTAGCTTCCTAATAAATTATAAATTTATAAACGGACAATTAAAGAAAGGTACGTAACAAATCATATCAGAACCAAGGCACTGACTACTGGGCTGATGATACTTTCGGGGACTATTAGTCCAGCAGCAGTGGTATCGACTTAAAGCTAACAAATTGAAAATAATATTTTATAAATTGTATGCGGACAAATCGCTTTTCTAAATTTGCCTTCGCAAGAACACTAAATATCAAATATTTGAAAGCCAAGGATTTAACTTAATGAAATTGCAGGATTAAAATAAAACAAAATACAAAATTGATTTGTACTCGCTAAGAAACAGGAACAAAGCTCAGTGAACCTGTCTTTTGTTCTAGATTCTAAAGTTCGTACAAGAAAATTTTATATTTTCCAACAATTTACGTATTATATAATATATTAACGAATTAAACAGCTATAACTTGCTTACATACACTTCATTTGAACTTTGGTGAATAGTTGTCTCATTGGCAATCATATCACATCTCCTTATTCATATATATATATAAAGTGGTCAATGCAGATTCAGATAAGTCAACAAAAGTATTTTTACGGTTTTATTATCTTTATTTCCAAAGGCGAAAGCAGTAATTGGGACGATGTGAAATGTAACTCTCCTCTTAACATGTATATCTGTGAAATGAAAGACTCTGGGTAAGTATTTATGTTATCCCTACAATTTTGGATCATCTTACATGTAAATTGTTTAAAAAAACATTATATTCAGTCATGTATGAAGAAGCAGCATCAGCGTAGCTTATGTTGTCTATTCAAAGCGGTTACAGGAAAATAGAATTGTGGTTCCTTGAAATTTTCGCAAAAGGCAATGAAACCTATGCTAAATAGACGGCTTCATTTTGTCTGTGCGGCCATGGCCTTTTGATATCAAGTGAAATTATTTTCTAGGTTTTAATTTCCTAACTTTCATCCTCGTTGACCAAACTGTATATTACCTCTTATTTTAAGTAAAACATACTCAATCAATTCATCGTATTATGTGGCGAACACCATATCTGCTATATATTATGATCTACTATTTCTTTAGAACGAGCTGAAAATCCATTCATAAATCATAGTATCTGAAAGCTAGCTTAATAGACAATTCCAATAACTCTCGACACCTAACGGATAATGAGGGAAGCTTACATTTGGGATTTCTCTCTCTCTCTCTCTCTCTCTCTCTCTCTCTCATTTAACCGTTTTCCATATATTTATAAAACATTTCACATAAACATTCAAGTAAAAAGAATATAAAGAAATCAATTACGATTTTGTAATTACAAATCTTCAGACGTGATAGTCTTCAATGGCTGACTACTCCCTTGCCAATAGCGATTCTCTCTATATGTCCCACCATTTCATTATTCCCTCGCAAAAAAGTTCAAAAGCAAAAATGTAACGGGACCGTCCACCCGTTATCCCGATACACAGGTGTTTATAGACCACGGTATATTAGCTACTTAGAATATGAGTTTTTATATACTTTTTTTGAAAGCATCATTCTTTATCAAAAAATTTCACATTGGTTAGTTGGATAAAGAAAATACCGGTACCTTGTACAGGTCAAATACATGTGGTTATAAGGTGTGATACCAGCAAATCATAGTACGTCACATCCGGTTGCAAAAAAAATAAAAAGTCCCTTGAATTTGACAGTTGTAGGAAAAACATCCTAGATTTCATAGCAGTAAAAATTTTCTGATTGATAAACATATATCTTGGGTGTTTCAAAGCACCATTTTTTTTTATTTGGTGTTTCTATAGAATATTTTGGAAACTTGAGGTTACATGGTTACTAAAGCTTGTACACAGGAAAAAAGGGGTGACAATTTGATTGGTTAACTTCCAGTGATGGTTATTTTCTTATATGCAATGAAATGTTATGCGAAATTTTGTCTATAATACTGGACAGGATAAAACTTTACTCATGCCAAGTATTTCTTTATTTGAAACAAAGATAAATTCTACACAATTTTTTGAAAAGTGCAAATTTAACAAAGACTAATAGGGAAAAATCAATGGTGGTATTACACCATAAGCACAGGACACGAACAAAACAATAATACAAAATAAAAAAAAACATATAACAATATAATGTATAAAATATAAATGTGATGTGGATAAGGCTAAACAATATACACAGTACCACTAACTAAAGATATCCTAAGTTACTTTAGTAAAAAATCATTTTAATAATGGAAGCCAGGAATTCCAGCAGAGATTAGTCATGTGAAGAGTCTTTTTCTTGGAAAATATATTCTTTTCTAGTATTAGGTTTTCTTGATAGTTTTTTAGTCCTGTAAAAGTACTTCATTTTCACATAGTTTGTTTTTTATAAATAAAGAATTTTGACAAGAGCATAATGCAGTTTTTTCATTTTATCATTTTTGGTTTTTCTAAATTTCCAAATAAAATTATATCCACGTTAAAAGTGTTTGTGTTTGGTTGCTATTGTATGGCATGTCGACAATTTGTGCTCAATATATCTTCAATAGCTTCATCGTATAAAGCGTTTATCATTTTGTTTTATATTAACTTTCAATACAACTTTATTTTTTACCAAGACTCTGTGTATTATTTTATACAGGAACCAATGAAGTTTTGAGTTTTTTGTGGTGTAAACATATATATTTTGCACGCTTTTCCAATCAAAATGATTGTTCAATCTGAAGGACTACCATATGTGTTGACAGCTAATGTGGATTCATTTAATTTCGTGGGTACCAATTTTCGTGGACTAAGGAAAAACAAAGGCAACAGTAGTATACCGCTGTTCAAAAGTCATCAATCGATTGAGAGAAAACAAATCCATGTAAATACAAACTAAAACCGAGGGAAACTATAAGAGGAAAACAAAGGAACAACAGAAACACTGAAGTGCAACAAAAATAAACGCCAACATACATAGAAACGGACTATTTGATAACAACTGCCATATTCCTGACTTGGTACAGGACATTTTACTAAAAAGTGGTGGGTTGAACCTGGTTTTATGGCTATCCAAACATCCTGCTTATATGGCAATGTTAAAAAATATCGCTAAAATGACAACACTACGTGACAGGAATACAGTACAAACAAACGCAATAACACTCAGCACAGAGAAACGCATAAATAAATAATTTAATAGTACATTTCAACATGTAAACCACAGAATAACAACGGACACCTCCCTTTAACAACAGCACAGCACACCACAAACAGTGACGTATTTTTGTGACGTATATATAATCTTGAAATTCATACAATTACTAGTCCAAACAATTATCATGATTATGACGGTCTTGAAAGGCTATTTTAAATTAATGCTGTGACGAATTCATAATTATTTGGACTAACACAATACTTTATCCACGGAAAATGGAAATTAACTCGACTATACTGACAAATAAGACATATGTGAAATGTACCGAAAATAAAACTTGCATGTCAGTGGATATTTAATTTCGTGGTTTTGCCGAAGTCTGCGTACTATCCTATAAAAAATGTGTGTCATTCGTTGAACATTTAATTACGTGGTTCACTTGAACCTACGAAATCCACGAAAACTGGTATCCAACGAATAATAATGATTCCACAGTAAGTGTAGTACTACTTGTGTCTGATTAATCATTATACATATCTTTCGAGCCTTTATTTGATAAGCAAAATATTATAATATTATAAAACTTATGTCGTATCGTTCTTGCTCATTACTTTAATGTAGCAGATTTGGGTAGTAAATCTGGTCATTGAGTTCGTATATTGGGAACATGAATCAAATGTTACTGCTAAAAATGTAGAGTTGACAATTGTAAAGTAATCTAGTTTTTTATTATTTTATACTAATTCTTATAATATCATTACTATTTTTTAAATGACTCCCTACATTTCCCTGTCGGTGTTAATGTGTTGCAATCTTTGTCTTTTCAGACACAGTGGATCCCAACTTATTGGATGAACAGATGCAGAAAATAGGTTGACTACGTTTATAGACACAAAACAATAAAATGAAAATCGACTTACTGCGACGTTGATTGTGACCTTATTATTAGAATTGCTAATGAGAATCTAATTCTTAAAAACCAAAGTTAATGATATATTGAACGAATTTCATTTCCTATTGTGGCTTTTCCTTGCTAAGGATGTTATGTTGGGTCCCGTTTATCGAGTGTACATTTCTCCTTTGCCTCAATTTGTTGGAGTTTTGCAATATATTCTTAGATTTCAATGTTTTATAGCTAGCTAAACCTCTCACTCACTTGTATGACAATCGCATAAAAACCCATTATAATGACAACAGTGTGTGAACAAAACAAACAGACATAATAGGTAGAAATGTCAAAAAAAGGGGTACAGCAGTCAACATTGTGTTATTATCTTAATCACTATAAAAACAAACAAATATGCCACCAAAGGAAAGCAAAATGGTATATAGACAAAGCACATAAGCAAAATGAAAGACAAGAATACAAAAAATTATCACTTGTTCCTCTGTGTAGCATATTTTACCGTTTGGTTCACTATTAACAAAATATGCTGTATGGAATCCCAAAGTAATAAATTTATATAGTATGCTACCATTTATATATTGAAAAGCATTGTGGATTATTTCTTTTAGACGATTTTTCAATTTCACATGGGGAAAGGTGGTATACAGGGTTGAAAAATCAAAAGTTTTGATAGAACTAATTTCAGAGAAAGATCGAGATTTAAAATTATCCAAAAGTTCTTTAGAGTTATTGAGAATCCACATATTGTTATTACCACTACGCGAGTAAACAGTTTCACAGTATTTCTGAAGACCCTCTTTCACTCAGGCCAGAATTTTTGTCAATCTAATGGACAATTCCTTTATAGAAATGCAGATGAGCCGGCAATGTACCGTTGTTTGTACGGAATTTTGTGAAGCTTAGGTATCCGATACAAACAAGTCCTCAGATTTGCTGTTCAATGTAATGTTCATTGAAGCCATGTCGAAGGACTTATGATTAGCCAAAATGTCATCCTTGTCAAATGATATGTTTTTGTAAGTGGGATTTCAATTAATTAATTAATAGTTAATTTCCAAATTGTGCACTTTGCCATAGTATGAAGTGACGTACACGTTATCAATGAAGGTACGCCTGGTGAATAAATAAGTCAGGGATTTCATTTCCTCGAATTAAATTATCATCTTTCAGTTAAGAATAGTTTATTTAATTAAATTTAAGTATATACTAAATTTTGTGGTTGGTCCTGTAGACATCTTGCTACAAATGGAATATTAAATCCCAATTTTAGCAATGATGTTTACGTGGTTCATCATTTAATGGATAAACCATATAATAATTATTGGTACTTTGAATATCCTCAAAAAACAAAAATATATGCATATGATTGCCATTTATAAAACTTTCCACAAAAACTAAATAACGTGGATGTAAGCAAATATAGATCAACATTCAGTCTTCAACAAAAACCCATACCGTATTGTTTGCACTCTATAAGCAATTCGTCATCGTAGCTCTAAGTCAAGTCTATATTGGAATTTTGTTAGAATATTTTATTTAAAGGATTAAAATTCAACTGGTATCTTCGTTGATTTAATAAATACTACCATGAAAGAAACAAGGTTATGTATACCACGCTATACTTTATCAAATCCAGCAAGTAAAAAAAAATTACTTCCACATAGAAAAGTCAGTATATTAATTTGTGATAAAATTTAGTAAAATGGAGGGAGGCATGTTGGATGCTTTAAGAGAGTAAGCCATTATTATAAGTAGAAAAAATAAGTTGTATGAAATTTTTTTTTAAATGAACATGTCATTTTTGCAAGAAGGATTATTTTTTTTAATCAATATATTTGAATAAAAAAACTAACATTTTTGCATTTTATATCATAAAGTAGAAACATATGCTTGAGGCTAGTCATGTCGATGGTTCGTCTTAGTAAAGGCAGCATTTTGTGCTGTCAAAAAGTTTGGGTATATATTCATGATCAGCAAATAAAGGCAACAGTAGTATACCGCTGTTCAGTAGTCATTAATCGATTAAGCGAAAAACAAATCCGGGTCACAAAGCAATAGAGTTGTAATTTTCATGACCGTTCATGACAAATAATTGCGAAAAATTAACGTTCATAATTTTACTTATTGTTTGGATTTATTGCATAAAGACACATTTTGAAAAAGGAATCATATCTAAGGCATGCAATATAGGTCATGTATTCCATTCTGAAAAGTCGATTGTTTTTCATTGATGTCAATAGTGTTGCAATCATTCAGGTCTTTTTTTTAATGGAATATAAAAACTTCAGTTGTCAAATATGTCAATATTCATTGTGTCAATTTATAATATTGTAGATCAAACTACAAATCAAACCATTGTTGTTTACCTAAATATGATGATTTATTCATTTAATCCCTCCATTATTTAAATCTATCAAAAATAATCGAAAGTTATACCAAATGGTGTCTATAGACACTTTAAAATGTAAAAAACAATGGAACTTGTTGACTGACAATTATTACAAAATTCTAATCCTGGAATCTATGATGACTTTATATGACGAACATTTCGGTCGATATATCTGATGGTGGACTGTTAGTTTCCAAGGGTTATTATGAAATATGTGGTTGTTGAGAATAAAATTTATTCTTTCATCAATAATTTTATAATCAATCAAAATTATTGACAAATAAATATAGATCAGTGTGCTTGTTTTGAGCTACATTTGGAATATTATGATGGGCAATTTGTCTCTAGAGTTTTCATCAGAGAGTCTATACGAAAAAAGGAACTCTAAACTGTATGCAAGATATCGGGAATTTTAAAATTATTTTTATCAAATCTGTATTCAAATCCAAAGGTTTTTTTTTATAATTTCATTTATTTAGTTATTTATGAATGAGAAATATATACTTTTTCATGTAAAAATGTATATAATGTTTTGCATAGAAATAGACACAGGTGTTACAAAAAATTAAGAACAAAATACGGACATCTGTTATAATACTAATTAATAAACATGTTTAATCAAAATATTTGATAAGTTTCCATACTATGAATGTGAACCATATCATAATCCATTCTTTTCATTGATTGTCATGGTATCTTTCGTGACATTTTTGACTGTTTTGCCTATTTTTATGATATTGATATCACTTTATTGTAAACTGCTACAAACTGGTCCCATAATAAACAAGTAAACTCATATAAATATCACTGGATGACACGAATACTCCCGCCGGCTACAAAATTATTCAACTTAGTAAAAGGTTCCTACGGAATGATAAGTTTTAGTTGTATCAGGTTTACGTTCAATTAAGGTTTAGTGTGTCGACTAGTACATAGCAGGGTTTCTTTTCATATCATAATAATACTACTGAACGTAACTAATCCAGCAAGTCAATATATATACGTTATGAAGTAAATAGTTCATTCATTTGTCATTTTTTTTAATTCAAATACTAAAATCTGAAAAATTACGATAGAATATATAATAAGGCGATGTGGTATGCATGACATACTTATGACATCGTTATTTCACACAGATAATTACTCCTAACTCGAATCTTGAAATACATAAGCACTTTGAAAATACACCACTGTACAATTTTGTTCATTATCACCAGGGAATTGGTTGTCAAGATAGTTTATCAAATAGAAATAAGAAGATGTGGTATGAGTGCCAATGAGACAACTCTGCATCCAAGTCACAATGTGTAAAAAGTAAACAATTACAGGTCAAAGTACGGCCTCCAACACGGAGCCTTGGCTTACACCGAACAGCAAGCTATAAAAGGCCCTAAAAGACTAGTGTAAAACAATTCAATCAGGAAAACCAACGGTCTATTCTATTAAAAAAAACGAGAAACACTTATGAACCAAATCAACAAACGACAACAAATGAACAACAGGTTCTTGACTTAGGACAGATGCAAACAAATGCAGCGGGTTTAAACGTTTAAACCTTTAACCTAACATTACAACATAGAAAGACACACTATAAAATATCAATTGAAATGGCTAAACTCAATCAAAAGACATATTAACAAAAACAAGTAAACATACAATGAACGAATAAATTTGATCTATGACGCACTATAAAAAAAATATTAATAAAAAGGGGGGAAGCCTTTATTGACAAAAAAATGGGATACTTATGCAATATGAAAATTAACTACTGCACATAGTTACTTAAAACATCAGCATCAGTGGCAGTCATCTTTTACACATTAAATAAGTTTGTGACCAGTTCAGACCCATAACCAGTCGGGGAGTTTTCTATAGAAATGATCAAGTTATTAAAGGACTGTTCTCTAGATGAAGTTAATTTGCGTTTATAATCACTTTATCTTCTTTAAGGTTGGGTCGTCTCGAGTATTCTTGCTGTTTCGAGTTTCTCTCTCTCTATTAAAGTTTTCAAACTGATTGTAAAGTAGCCTAAGATTTGTACAAAATTGTCAATCTGCTACAGTCAAGAATGTTTATCAATTTGTAGATCATATTTCACATATAAATTTTGCTGTTAATAGTTTTATCTATTTTATACTATAATAGTGACACAGAAAAGAAAAAAAAACCACAAACACATTAGTATCGTAAAAATGTCTTTAAAGTACAATTACTGATATTGCCAGTTTATTTACATGTTCGCCCATTGTACTTTAAAATGTGTGATCTTTATTTTTTTTATAATTTTTGCTGTTTACTATTTTCTCTATCTACACGTATTATAGCTTTGCCAAAAACGCAAACGATTCGAAATTTTTTTTTTAAAACGGCAATACATACTTTCTAAAAGAGTGTACTGGCGCTTCTTATCATGTTGACTTATTTGTAGATCTTTATAGCTGATGATTTGTTGCGTTTTCTTTCAATCTTTTGTTGTTTTAAAGATTGTAGCCACAAATGGTTTAAAAATCGTCACGTAAGGGTAATAGCTCCTATAAGGAGTCGACTGTCGTACCCCTTATATTGTAGATCTTTGTGATCATTTGTGAAAGATAAAATTTTTCTCTATCTAAGTTATAGCTTG